GTTATGTAATTGTATTGAATGAAATTTCTTGAGAAAATTAATTTACAACTTGGTTTTCGGTTCCCAATGGCGCAATTGGTAAGCGCACGGTGCTTATAGGACAGTTCCGCGAGCAATGCCGGGGTTGTGAGTTCGAGCCTCACATGGCGAATTGTTATTTTACATAAAAGTTTGATGTAAGACTTATGTAATTGTATTGAATAAAATTTCTTTAGAAAATTAATTATCAACTTGGTGTTCAGTCCCCAGTGGCGCAATTAGTTAGCGCACGGTACTTATAGGACAGTTCCGCGAGCAATGCCGGGGTTGTGAGTTTCAGCCTCACCCGGGGAATTGTTATTTTACATAAAATTTTGATGTAACCGTTATGTAATTGTATTGTGAGTTCTAGTACCTAATACTTACGTAATTTTATTGAGCGTAATTTACATAATTTTATTAAAATATCTTTAGAAAATTAATTAACAAGTTGGTATTCAGTCCCCAGTGGCGCAATTGGTTAGCGCACGGTACTTATATATACTCACCTGGGGAATTGTTATTTTACATAAAAGTTTGATGTAAGACTTATGTAATTGTATTGGATAAAATATCTTTAGAAAATTAATTAACAAGTTGGTATTCAGTCCCCAGTGGCGCAATTGGTTAGCGCACGGTACTTATAGGACAGTTCCGCGAGCAATGCCGGGGTTGTGAGTTCGAGCCTCACCTGGGAAATTGTTATTTTACATAAAAGTTTGATGTGAGACTTATGTACTTGTATTGGATAAAATATCTTTAGAAAATTAATTAACAACTTGGTATTCAGTCCCCAGTGGCGCAATTGGTTAGCGCACGGTACTTATATATACTCACCTGGGGAATTGTTATTTTACATAAAACTTTGATGTAAGACTTATGTAAGTGTATTGAATAATTTTTTTTAGAAAATTAATTAACAACTTGGTATTCAGTCCCCAGTGGCGCAATTGGTTAGCGCGCGGTACTTATAGGACAGTTCCGCGAGCAACGCCGGGGTTGTGAGTTCGAGCCTCACCTGGGGAATTGTTATTTTATATAAAAGTTTGATGTAAGACTTATGTAATTGTATTGGATAAAATATCTTTAGAAAATTAATTAACAAGTTGGTATTCAGTCCGCAGTGGCGCAATTGGTTAGCGCACGGTACTTATAGGACAGTTCCGCGAACAATGCCGGGGTTGTGAGTTCGAGCCTCACCTGGGGAATTGTTATTTTACATAAAAGTTTGATATAAGACTTATGTAAGTGTATTGAATGAATTTTTTTTAGAAAATTAATTAACAACTTGGTATTCAGTCCCCAGTGGCGCAATTGGTTAGCGCACGGTACTTATACTCGTATATACTCACCTGGGGAATTGTTATTTTACATAAAAATTTGATGTAAGACTTAACTTGTACTTATAGGACAGTTCCGCGAGCAATGCCGGGGTTGTGAGTTCGAGCCTCACCTGGGGAATTGTTATTTTACATAAAAGTTTGATGTAAGACTTATGTAATTGTATTGGATAAAATATCTTTAGCAAATTAATTAACAACTTGGTATTCAGTCCCCAGTGGCGCAATTGGTTAGCGCACGGTGCTTATATATACTCACCTGGGGAATTGTTATTTTACATAAAAGTTTGATGTAAGACTTAACTTGTACTTATAGGACAGTTCCGCAAGCAATGCCGGGGTTGTGAGTTCGAGCCTCACCTGGGGAATTGTTATTTTACACAAAGTTTGATGTAAGACTTATGTAATTGTATTGGATAAAATATCTTTAGCAAATTAATTAACAAGTTGGTATTCAGTCCCCAGTGGCACAATTGGTTAGCGCACGGTACTTATAGGACAGTTCCGCGAGCAATGCCGGGGTTGTGAGTTCGAGCCTCACCTGGGGAATTGTTATTTTACATAAAAGTTCGATGTAAGATTTATGTAATTGTATTGAATAAATATCTTTAGAAAATTAATTAACAAGTTGGTATTCAGTCCCCAGTGGCGCAATTGGTTAGCGCACGTTACTTATAGGACAGTTCCGCAAGCAATGCCGTGGTTGTGAGTTCGAGCCTCACCTGGGGAATTGTTATTTCACATAAAAGTTTGATGTTAGACTTATGTAAGTGTATTGAATAAAATCTTTTTAGAAAATTAATTAACAAAAGGTATTCAGTCCCCAGTGGCGCAATTGGTTAGCGCACGGTACTTATAGGACAGTTCCGCGAGCAATGCCGGGGTTGTGAGTTCGAGCCTCACCTGGGGAATTGTTATTTTACATAAAAGTTTGATGTGAGACTTATGTAATTGTATTGGATAAAATATCTTTAGAAAATTAATTAACAAGTTGGGATTCAGTCCCCAGTGGCGCAATTGGTTAGCGCACGGTATTTCTAGGACAGTTCCGCGAGCAATGCCGGGGTTGTGGGTTCGAGCCTCACCTGGGGAATTGTTATTTTGCATAAAAGTTTGTTGTAAGACTTATGTAAGTGTATTGAATAAATTTTTTTTAGAAAATTAATTAACAACTTGGTATTCGCAATTGGTTAGCGCACGGTACTTATAGGACAGTTCCGCAAGCAATGCCGGGGTTGTGAGTTCGAGCCTCACCTGGGGAATTGTTATTTTACATAAAAGTTTGATGTAAGACTTATGTAATTGTATTGGATAAAATATCTTTAGAAAATTAATTAACAAGTTGGTATTCAGTCCCCAGTGGCGCAATTGGTTAGCGCACGGTACTTATAGGACAGTTCCGCGAGCAATGCCGGGGTTGTGAGTTCGAGCCTCACCTGGGGAATTGTTATTTTACATAAAAGTTTGATATAAGACTTATGTAAGTGTATTGAATAATTTTTTTTTAGAAAATTAATTAACAACTTGGTATTCAGTCCGCAGTGGCGCAATTGGTTAGCGCACGGTACTTATAGGACAGTTAATCAAACTTACTCACCTGGGGAATTGTTATTTTACATAAAAGTTTGATGTAAGACTTATGTAATTGTATTGTTATTTTACATAAAAGTTTGATGTAAGACTTAACTTGTACTTATAGGACAGTTTCGCGAGCAATGCCGGGGTTGTGAGTTCGAGCCTCACCTGGGGAATTGTTATTTTACATAAAGTTTGATGTAAGACTTATGTAATTGTATTGGATAAAATATCTTTAGAAAATTAATTAACAACTTGGTATTCAGTCCCCAGTGGCGCAATTGGTTAGCGCACGGTGCTTATATATACTCACCTGGGGAATTGTTATTTTACATAAAAGTTTGATGTAAGACTTAACTTGTACTTATAGGACAGTTCCGCAAGCAATGCCGGGGTTGTGAGTTCGAGCCTCACCTGGGGAATTGTTATTTTACACAAAAGTTTGATGTAAGACTTATGTAATTGTATTGGATAAAATATCTTTAGCAAATTAATTAACAAGTTGGTATTCAGTCCCCAGTGGCACAATTGGTTAGCGCACGGTACTTATAGGACAGTTCCGCGAGCAATGCCGGGGTTGTGAGTTTGAGCCTCACCTGGGGAATTGTTATTTTACATAAAAGTTCGATGTAAGACTTATGTAAGTGTATTGAATAAAATATCTTTAGAAAATTAATTACCAAGTTGGTATTCAGTCCCCAGTGGCGCAATTGGTTAGCGCACGTTACTTATAGGACAGTTCCGCAAGCAATGCCGTGGTTGTGAGTTCGAGCCTCACCTGGGGAATTGTTATTTCACATAAAAGTTTGATGTTAGACTTATGTAAGTGTATTGAATAAAATCTTTTTAGAAAATTAATTAACAAAAGGTATTCAGTCCCCAGTGGCGCAATTGGTTAGCGCACGGTACTTATAGGACAGTTCCGCGAGCAATGCCGGGGTTGTGAGTTCGAGCCTCACCTGGGGAATTGTTATTTTACATAAAAGTTTGATGTGAGACTTATGTAATTGTATTGGATAAAATATCTTTAGAAAATTAATTAACAAGTTGGGATTCAGTCCCCAGTGGCGCAATTGGTTAGCGCACGGTATTTCTAGGACAGTTCCGCGAGCAATGCCGGGTTGTGGTTCGAGCCTCACCTGGGGAATTGTTATTTTGCATAAAAGTTTGTTGTAAGACTTATGTAAGTGTATTGAATAAATTTTTTTTAGAAAATTAATTAACAACTTGGTATTCGCAATTGGTTAGCGCACGGTACTTATAGGACAGTTCCGCAAGCAATGCCGGTGTTGTGAGTTCGAGCCTCACCTGGGGAATTGTTATTTTACATAAAAGTTTGATGTAAGACTTATGTAATTGTATTGGATAAAATATCTTTAGAAATTAATTAACAAGTTGGTATTCAGTCCCCAGTGGCGCAATTGGTTAGCGCACGGTACTTATAGGACAGTTCCGCGAGCAATGCCGGGGTTGTGAGTTCGAGCCTCACCTGGGGAATTGTTATTTTACATAAAGTTTGATATAAGACTTATGTAAGTGTATTGAATAATTTTTTTTAGAAAATTAATTAACAACTTGGTATTCAGTCCGCAGTGGCGCAATTGGTTAGCGCACGGTACTTATAGGACAGTTAATCAAACTTACTCACCTGGGGAATTGTTATTTTACATAAAAGTTTGATGTAAGACTTATGTAATTGTATTGTTACTTTACACAAAAGTTTGATGTAAGACTTATGTAATTGTATTGGATAAAATATCTTTAGCAAATTAATTAACAAGTTGGTATTCAGTCCCCAGTGGCACAATTGGTTAGCGCACGGTACTTATAGGACAGTTCCGCGAGCAATGCCGGGGTTGTGAGTTTGAGCCTCACCTGGGGAATTGTTATTTTACATAAAAGTTCGATGTAAGACTTATGTAATTGTATTGGATAAAGTAAAGTAAGCATTATGCAGGTATAAAATTGTTGCGCGCTTGTACGTTTTATTCTCAATTTCATCTGCAAAATCAATATGCATTTTGGATTCACAAAGTGTTAATATTAATATATACATGAATTATTGGGGTCCTTTCGGACCCTCCAAAAATTGCCATAGCCCACGGTATTTCACGTGGTCTCGGCGGGGTATTGGTAAAAGTTTTCAACTAGCAATAATCGCACCTCGGATAAACCTCATTGGTTACGATATCGCCACTGCGCAAAGCTAACGAACAGAGCGGACCGTGTTTCTTATATCCTCATACGAGCTGTATTTTGCAGCGCGAGTTTTGTTCTCATTGTGCAGGTATAAAATTTCCGCGCGCTTGACCGTTTTATTCTCAATTCAATTGCATCGCATCTTGCTGGAACTTATCGTACTGTAACTTAGAATTTTCAAAAGCTTTAAAATTTTGAAAAATTAAACAATTTGAGAAATTACAATTTTTAACTTCCCGCATGGTAATTAACAAGTTGGTATTCAATCCCCAGTAGCGCAATTGGTTAGCGCACGGTACTTATAGGACAGTTCCGCGAGCAATGCCGGGGTTGTGAGTTCGAGCCTCACCTGGGGATTTGTTATTTTACATAAAAGTTTGATGTAAGACTTATGTAATTGTATTGGATAAAGTATCTTTAGAAAATTAATTAACAAGTTGGTATTCAGTCCCCAGTGGCGCAATTGGTTAGCGCACGGTACTTATAGGACAGTTCCGCGAGCAATGCCGGGGTTGTGAGTTCGAGCCTCACCTGGGGAATTGTTATTTTACATAAAAGTTTGATGTAAGACTTATATAATTGTATTGAATAAAATTTGTTTAGAAAATTAATTAACAACTTCGTATTCAGTCCCCAGTGGCGCAATTGGTTAGCGCACGGTACTTATAGGACAGTTCCGCGAGCAATGCCGGGGTTGTGAGTTCGAGCCTCACCTGGGGAATTGTTATTTTACATAAAAGTTTGTTGTGAGACTTATGTAATTGTATTGTAAAAGTTTGATGTAAGACTTAACTTGTACTTATAGGACAGTTCCGCAAGCAATGCCGGGGTTGTGAGTTCGAGCCTCACCTGGGGAATTGTTATTTTACATAAAAGTTTGATGTAAGACTTAACTTGTACTTATAGGACAGTTCCGCAAGCAATGCCGGGGTTGTGAGTTCGAGCCTCACCTGGGGAATTGTTATTTTACACAAAAGTTTGATGTAAGACTTATGTAATTGTATTGGATAAAATATCTTTAGCAAATTAATTAACAAGTTGGTATTCAGTCCCCAGTGGCACAATTGGTTAGCGCACGGTACTTATAGGACAGTTCCGCGAGCAATGCCGGGGTTGTGAGTTTGAGCCTCACCTGGGAAATTGTTATTTTACATAAAAGTTCGATGTAAGACTTATGTAATTGTATTGGATAAAGTAAAGTAAGCATTGTGCAGGTATAAAATTGTTGCGCGCTTGTACGTTTTATTCTCAATTTCATCTGCAAAATCAATATGCATTTTGGATTCACAAAGTGTTAATATTAATATATACATGAATTATTGGGGTCCTTTCGGACCCTCCAAAAATTGCCATAGCCCACGGCATTTCACGTGGTCTCGGCGGGGTATTGGTAAAAGTTTTCAACTAGCAATAATCGCACCTCGGATAAACCTCATTGGTTACGATATCGCCACTGCGCAAAGCTAACGAACAGAGCGGACCGTGTTTCTTATATCCTCATACGAGCTGTATTTTGCAGCGCGAGTTTTGTTCTCATTGTGCAGGTATAAAATTTCCGCGCGCTTGACCGTTTTATTCTCAATTCAATTGCATCGCATCTTGCTGGAACTTATCGTACTGTAACTTAGAATTTCAAAAGCTTTGAAATTTTGAAAATTAAACAATTTGAGAAATTACAATTTTAACTTCCCGCATGGTAATTAACAAGTTGGTATTCAATCCCCAGTAGCGCAATTGGTTAGCGCACGGTACTTATAGGACAGTTCCGCGAGCAATGCCGGGGTTGTGAGTTCGAGCCTCACCTGGGGATTTGTTATTTTACATAAAAGTTTGATGTAAGACTTATGTAATTGTATTGGATAAAGTATCTTTAGAAAATTAATTAACAAGTTGGTATTCAGTCCCCAGTGGCGCAATTGGTTAGCGCACGGTACTTATAGGACAGTTCCGCGAGCAATGCCGGGGTTGTGAGTTCGAGCCTCACCTGGGGAATTGTTATTTTACATAAAAGTTTGATGTAAAGCCCGGTGCACACGACGCCAGTTTTCATGTTGGACAGTTTTTGTTTGTTTGTTACTCTAGCAACGACATGATAAGTCATAATTTACGATCTTGCGCGACATAATTTGCGATCTGGCCTGCTAGATTTCACGCATTCACAACGGCGGTATACTCATCATAATTTCTATGTAAAAACGTTGCCTTAGCAACGTCGGAATTTGATTTCATAACAACTTATGTCCTCGCAAATTCCTGCGTATTTTAGGAATAGAGCATCTCCTATTCGGCGAGAGATGAACTATCTCGTGGCCGATACCTTCAGTGTCCAATAGGAAAGCTGTATTTTGTCACGTAAATATCAATGCGTACTTGATTCATGTACTTCGATTTTGAAAGCGTTTAGTTTTTATTTTGTAAATAGATATTTGTGTATATATAGCGAACGCCGGCATGAATAAATGATTAGTTTAGGAAACGCAGTTCAGTAATTTTAAAATATTCAAATTTCCGAAAAAATTTAAATATGCATTTTTTTTTCAAATTTTCGTAATTTTATCTGAAATATCAAAAAATTTCAAAATTTCCAAAATATTGAAAAAAAATCAAATCGTTTTATTTTAAAAATTTCGAAATTTGCAAAAATACTCAAAATTAAAAAAAAAAACTAGTTGGTACTGGTATTTAGCCTTCAGGCAATTTACCGATATGTGTACATAATCAACTTAATCCATAATGGATAAATTAATTTATCAGTAGTAAAAAGTATTCGAAGTGGATTTATTACACATTACTGAAAATCGAACACGTCAACCCGGTCGGACTATTTTTAAAAGCAAATTTTCAAAAATCAATAATTTTTATAATTGAGGCAGTTTTTTGTAAGACTTTAATGGTTTAGTATGTTCATTAAGATACATCGAATGGCTTTTAAATTTTTAAAATCGGTCTTGAGTTTTGAGAAAACGTCGATTTACGGCAAAAAAATCTGCTCACACACACACACATACTTTTTATAAATTTGGTCTCATTCGATTCATAATGGCTTGCAACGTCGAGAAAACGTAAAATTAGCGAATTGGATTTTTGATGAAAACATAAACTTCTCCTTTGGGAAGTTAAAAATAAAATTTGCGAACCTTTTTAATATTTTTATATCAGTATTAATCATCCGATAAAAAATAAATAGAGCACGTCCTATTCGGCGACAGTAACTATTTGGTGGCTAGTACTTCCAGTGTCCAATAGGAAAGCTGTATTTTGCCACGTGATTCAACACATGTACTTGATTCGTGACCTTGGGGTTTGGCAATTGTTCGGTGTTTAATATATATATTTTGTGATTAGCCATTGTGTACAGTGTAGAATACATCGAATTCTAATATTGTCCAGGGTATACTATACAAATATTGTCAGAATGAATTCCGACAAGTGGTCTAGAGATCAAATTGAGTTACTTATTGATGCAGTACGCGAAGAAACTTGTCTGTACGCTACAGACTCGCCTGCATATCATAATAAGCATTTGAGAGGCCAAGCATTGGACAGAGTGGTAGAAAAAATGTTGAGAATACGGCCCACAGCGACTCGAGATGAATGCCAGAAGAAGTTTAAAGCTCTGAGAACCCAATATAACTTCGAGAATAATAAGATAAGAGCATCAAAGAGAAGCGGGATTGGGACCGAAAATGTAAGTTTTTCCCTTTTTTTTATTTCAATAATTACCTTTAATAAAATATCCAGCATCTGACTAATGCACCTTATATACCTTATAGGTCTATAAACCATTTTTGTGGTACTTTTCAAAACTATCATTCTTGGAAAGTTTTCTCACCCCGAGGAATAGTAGAAGCTCCATTGAAACACTTCAGACGCAGGAAACACCTCAGGCGCAGGAGTTCCTTGAATGTAATGTAGTGGCAGGTGTGGAGAATGACTGTGCTATATTTGAGGGACCTGCAGCATCAGCATCAAATTTTGAGTTTTTTTCATCTGCTCCTTCAACTTCTGCAGGATATACCAATGAACCACCAATGAGGCCAAAGAAAAATAGAAAGGACTCATCAAACGATGATATTTTCACTAGTGCTATAAACAGACTGGCGGAATCGATGGAGAAGCGACACGAAAAACCAAAAGATACACCAGAAGGGTCTGTAGACCAAGTTTTTTCTTCACTGGGATCGCTTGTGAAACAAATTAAAAATGAAAAGCGAAGGGCAATGACACTCAGTAAGGTTTCACAAATTGTATTTGAAGCATACACACAAGACTTTGAATGATCTTAATATAGTTCTTAATTATTAATTTATGAATAAAAATGAATAAGAATATAAAGTATTTCATTTTCACCACTCATTAAAATACTATAGAAAATTAATATAGTGATAATAACATTATTATTAATAACATAGTTATTAATACAATTCTATCATTTATATAAACATTTGCCTTTACAGAATTTATTAATTATTGCCCTCTTTCAATAGCAGAATATTGGAAGGGAACAATTCCTGCTGTGTTAAAATAATCGCAGAATTTGTCACGAATTTCTAAAGCATCATTGCTGCATCGATTAGACCTCTGCTCTAAGTTTTGCCGAGATGTGGGTAGCTGTGTTTCTAAATGGTTCATAACACAATCATTAACATTTCGATATTCATCTCTCACATACCACTGATGAGCATTAGCTTTTGATAAAACATAATTGTGCAATAATATGCACGTGTATGTTATAGTCTCAACTTTTTTGACATCTAGGGGTATGGTGGTTTGCAATATTCTCCATCTGTTGACAAGAATACCAAAAGCATTTTCAACTACTCTACGAGCTCGGCTCAATCTATAGTTGTAAATTCTTTTCTCCATTGTGAGACCTCGATTCGGATATGGCTTCAATAAATTTCTTTTTAAGCTGAAGGCATCATCACCTACAATCACATAAGGGATTTTAGTGTTATAGAATTCTAACTCGCAAGGAGAAGGCAAATTGAGAGAATTGTTATCCATTTTTAGGCCTAATAGGCTTGTATGAAAGACGGTTGAATCATGCATACGGCCGTTTCTTCCCACATCAACAAACAAAAATTTATAATCTGCATCGGCAAGAGCTAAGAGTACTATGCTGTCATATCCTTTATAATTTCTGTATTTCGAACCATCACTTCGTGATGGACGAAATCTTATATGCTTTCCATCCAATGCCCCTATGCAGTGAGGAAAATTCCATGTTGTCTCAAATTTGTGTGCAACAGCTTCCCATTCTTGTGCTGAAGATGGAAATTTTATAAAATGATCTTGAAGAACGGTTACAATTGCTTCAAGAGTTTCTCTAACGATTTGGGATATGGTATTAGGTGCAATTCGAGTTGAATAACTAATGTCTCTAAACGAATTTCCTGTTGCCAAGTACCGAATTGTAATACAAAGCCTGTCTCTCGGTGATATAGCTTGCCTCATAACTGTATCCTCTTTCTTTATATATGGTGTTACCATTTCCAACAAATCATTCCAAATACCATTTTCCATTCGCGTGTAATTTGAGAAACTGGCCGGATCTTCTGCACTAAAAACATTAAATATAACAATAACATTACGTTTTATCAACTTTCACTAATTAAAATTAACTCACTCTAGTTCATTAAAAAGCATATTTAAGGAAGTCGTTTGCTGGTCACGCCGCAGCAACCAAGAACGACTCCATAGCCGTTTACGTCTTTCCTTTTCTTCCTTTTTTTTTAAAATTATTAAAGAACTGACAATAACTGCAGTCCTTTCGACACGATCGTTGTCAGACATTTTGACATTTGAGGTTATAGCGCATGCAATAATTTAGACATATATGTTACAGCATGAAATTCAGGCGCTAAATTCTTGCGCGCCAGAATTTAAATTACAGACAGAAATTATATTTCTAGAAATACTGGCGTCGTGTGCACCGGGCTTACATTGATAATTATTGCCGAATACGAAAATGAAAACTTTTGCATATATTTACGTTTCAAAGTTTCTGAACATTATGCATTCTTAAAAAAAACGATGTATGTGTATGTGTATAATGGTTGACACTAATAAATGTGTGCATCACGAATGTTACCATATTACTAATAAACATTATTCAAAATTATTATATGATGTATTTTTTTTACTTAAATTTTCTGCTTTGTACAGTAGCAAATAAGTTTCCACATTTAGTTCATAAAAAAGAATACAAGGCGATTACATGTCCTTCTAATATTTTCGTGCTTAATATTTTTAATGCAAGCTCATTTGATAAAAGTATAGTATTACAGTCTAGTAGCCATTTAAAATGGATATTCAAAACCATAATTATTACGTAATTATCCAGACAGAAAGCGTAGAATTTCATTTTATGAAAAATAAACTTATTACGAGATGGTCATTCACACTGTTTTTGTTTATAAAGAAATGCAATTTTGAGATTCGCGGAAATCTCAGATGATTTGTGACATACAAACCTATATTTTTAATACCCTAGACATGGAGTTGCTATTTTAAAATGAAGTTCATTAACATCAACTATTTTTGAGAAGTAGAAATTACATAAAATAATTTTGCCAACAATAAAAATACATTTCTAACAAATTATAAAAACTAACTATATGTTAAAATATTTTTTATTGTCTTTGCTAAATCTTTAAATATGGAGTTTGTTCAAATGGATTTTAATTTTTGAAATCGGAGCAGCGGTTATAAAGAAAAAGTCAAATTTTGATTTACCACACACACACATTTTGCAATTTCAGTTTCAAAACGATTCAGAATGATTGGTTTAGGTTAGTAATAAATAATATTTTATTAATATAGGTTAAACCATGTAGACCATAAACCACTGCATTAAAACGTAGATCTCTATTCACATACACGACGACTAATCACAATCGACCCGTATTGAAATGATTTCATAGAGAGCGAATGACGAACTGTTCCGGCGTAAGGCAATTTCCGTTGTATTTTCACAGATTTAATTCCTAGTTGCGTCTAAAGAAGTTTTACTTCGAAAAGCCAAAGGTGAGGGTTGAATATTGTTAATAAATTTCTAACAAAACTTGGTTTTAAGATATCGGTGGTGGACTTTTAACCTCCCGAAGGAGAAGTTTATGTTTTCATCAAAAAATCCGATTCGCTAATTTTATGTTTTCTCGACGTTTCAAGCCATTCTGAATCGAATGAGACCAAATTTGGAAAAAGTATGTGTGTGTGTGTGTGTATGTGAACAGATTTTTTGCAGTAAATCGACGTTTTCTCGAAAACGGCTGGGTCGATTTCAAAAATTTAAAAGCCATTCGATGTATCTCGACGAGAACTATTGTTTGTCAGTTTTGTGCGACGATCGGCAAAGCCGTTTCTTTATAAATGGCAGAAAAGTGAAAATTTTTTTGTCTACGTTTTAGCCCGCAATTCTGAACCGATTTTGAAAATTCAAAAACCGTTCGAAGATATTGGTTGGGAATCGTGCTGATTAGTTTCTGGTAGAGATCGGTCGGGCCGTTTTTCTTGTAATAAAGTTTTTTAAAAAAAAATTCGACGATTTTTTGATTATTTTTTTGACGATAGATACCATAGTCTTCTAGATCATACTAAAATATTACGGCCCTACGACAACTGGTTCAGTTTTAAAAATTCGTCAAAGTTTGCAAAATCAGTATGGTCTTTTTGGCATTTGTCAAAATTAGACTTTTGATCGACGTTTTCTCAAAAACGCCTGAACCGATTTTAGAAATTTAAAAGCCATTTGATGTATTTCGGTGAGGATTATCGTTTGTCAGTTTTGTGCAACGATCTGCCAAGCCGTTTCTTTGTAATTTGAAAAAAAAGTTAAACTTTTCGTCCACATTTAAGCTCATCCTACCGAACCGATTTTAAAAAATCAAAAGCTGTTCGAAAGGTATTAGTTGGGAATGGTACTGATTAGTTTTAGGTGAAAATCTACCGAGCCGTTTTCTTGTAATTAACTGTTGAAAAAAAAATTTAAGCCGATTTTTATGGATTTTTTTTAGCGATATATACCATGGTCTTATAAAACTTACTGAAATATAACGGTCTTACGACAAATAGTTTGATTTTAAAAATTCATCAAAATTTGAGAAAATGAGTAGTTCTTTGACATTTGTTAAAATTAAAATTAGACTATCTACTTGGTATAACGATAGAGTACTTGGTCTTGAACATAGCAAACCATTAAAGTCCTGGAAACTGGTTTAATTATAAAAATTATTGATATTTGAAAATTTGCTTTTAGAAAATACTCCGAGTCAAAGTTTTCGTTCGTTTTCAATTATGTGTAATAAATCCACTCGGAATACTTATAAATCACTCATAAATTAATTATTTTTTATTGAAAGTCGATTATTTAAACATATCGGGAAGTTCATGTAACTTGCCTTAAGGCAAAATACCAAACCAACTAGTTAAGCCCTGCTTTACCCCGAGTTGTCAATAAAATTAAAATTGAAACAATCCTTCTTCTTTTTTAATCTGGCCTAATCTCAGACTTAATTTAATTAGTTGTTGGTTTTCCTTGGCAAGCGAGCTTTTATGATATTGGGAGGTTACCTTATACTTTTTACGGATCTTTGTATTTGAGTCAGAATTTCTCAGCTTTCTTATATATTTATACACTATCGACTTCTCGTGTAAACGTTTCATCTATCAATTACTACTTTTTTACCGGGACAGCGCGTACGCAGTCCCGACTACCAAAAATTGCACGCCCGATGTACCCCTTTAGGGATAATCGCAAGGATATCTGCTTAACCCAGGTGCAATGGCTAAGCCCATCCCCGGAGGACCCGCCTTCTTGATCACGGGATCCTAAGCGCCAAGTAAGTATGCTCGGGGCCCTGATTTTCACTATGTCATTTCGTGTTAACAGCATTACGAAGAGTGCGGTGGGACGAAGGACGTACGAGACATCTGTTGGGCGATAATGGAATTTGGGGGGATGGGTTGGATGAAATTTGTTCTTGGATTATTTAGCTGACTTACAAACCGTGATATGATTATGATTAATAAATGTGATTAAAATAACATAATTTCGTATTCATGTACACCTACTGTTTACTGCAATTTAAATTTACTCTTTTTTTGTGTAAATTGATATAGAAACCAACATTAAACAAATTGTATATAATTGTACTTTTATTTAGTTTTTTTTGGGACTGTTTGTAGAAATATGCCTTGTAGAAAAGCGAGATAAAGAAAGTATGATATCCTATAAATATGAAAAGCCAACTATTAACATTATATATCTTGGTACGGAACCCACAGAAAAATTACAAATATTATACTTTTGTGATATGATTAAATTTGCTATATTTTTTTTTGATTCCTAAAAATAAATTTATATAAAACGAAACAGTTTTAAACTATTTATAAAATAAAATAAATATATATTTAAGTGTGATTTTAAACAAAATAATAATACTTAATACATTACTTGATTTTAAATTTGATTCCTATTAGGTACCTTTGATAAAAGTATATATAAAGACATGGAATTTTAACAGTTTAGAGCAACATTTTAAAATCTTTCTTATACCTCTATTTTATTGTCTATCTTAAATATAAGGCAAAATCTTCAGGACCATAATATCAAACCAAAAATTGTAAAAGTTTATAAAATCTTGAGCAGAACATATTTATACTAATATTAGCTATGGAATTTGCTACTTTTTGTTTATTCTGGTCGCTATAATGTGGCACCTGATTTTGTTATTCAAAATTACAATACAGCAATCATAGTCACATATGAGCTATGTGAAAATACAATATTTGTAATTCTAATGAATTTTGTAAAGATGATGAGAAAAATAGTATTCTTGCTCTTATTATTACTGCAGGTTTTTGGTGTGAAAGTGCCATGTTTTATCTACTCCTTTGGCCTTTATAAAATTTGGTTATAGTTTACATTTTACTTTTCACAATACTATCACCACATATCTTATGACATTCTCAATTTGTTGTATTTACCTTTTTAAAGAAAAACCTACCTGGTAATCATACGTACATTTTTTTGTTCTGATTCTTCCAAATAATTTGATATCGATGTTTTTTCTGGTGTATGTCCATACCAGTTTTCTTTTCATTTCAATTTCACACAAGTTTTCCAGTAGAGTCCTTTCTATCCTTTACAGTACTTTACTTGCCTTATCAATTTTTTTTAAAGCACCACATTTTGAAACATCTACCTGAAACAATTTCTCTATATTGTTGATGATTTTGTTTAGTTTTATAAAAACTTGATATATGAAAATATATATATTTTGTTTCGATGTAATAGCCTACTAGATTTAGAATGAATAGCCTACTAGATACAGTAGAACTCCAATTATCCGAATTAATGAGGACCGGGACCCATTCGGATAATCAAATATTCGGATAATCGGAGTTTTTTTTTTAAAATTGCCATTGGAGAGAAAAAAAGTTACGTTTTGATATTGCACTATTTTTTATTGAATTAAATAAAAGAAACATGACATTTTCACATGTTTTAAATATAAATAAAATGTACTTAAACGAGTTAAAAAAAAATGTACAAGTTAAGAAATAAAAATCATTGTTTTGTAAACATCTCCGTCAAATCTAAACAAACAATGTGCCTACACTGGCTTTGCTGGTGGAAGAATAATAGCGCACTTAGAGTTTTTTTGGACAATTTTTTTTCTGAAAGTGATTCGGATAATCGGCGATTCGGATAGTCGAAGTTCGGATAATTGGAGTTCGGATAGTCGGAGTTCGGATAATTGGAGTTCTACTGTATAGAAATTTCGATGAAT